CACCCCACCTCCACCACACTCTCTGCTCTGCTCAGCCACTACTGAATGTTCCCTTTATGCCATGCAACTAAAGACAGACATCTTTGCTTCAGCAAGATGACAGCATCGCTTTCATTTTAGACTCATTTTTTTACAGCACCACATTTTTAAGTCTGTCTCTTATTGCATGGTTGTCTTCTCACACTAACCCCCTTGCCCCACCGAAGCCCCCGAAGCCCAAATCCGACCCGAGTCAAACTGTCTGTTTTAACCTCGCCTGCAGCTCTCGATGTTATCTGGCACTCTGAGCTGGTTAAAACAAACAGTTTGGCAACGTAGCGACCCAGGTCTGTGTCAGAAATCACACACTTACAGGATTAAAAACTTCACCGCCACCATTGAATCTGCTTGGCTGTGTAGTTTTTTACATTACTTCGTCCGTTTTGTTAATTAAGAAGCAACAACAACAAAAAATAGTAATAATAATCCCATCTAGGTTTTTATTTTTCTTTGTCTGATTTTACATTGTTTATGATTCAAGAAGTGGTAGAAACATGCATTTTTTTCATACTGCCTCTCCCTAAAATTAATATTGTTTTGTTATAAAAAGTAGGTGATTTTTAGACAAAATTTGGAAAAACAGAAAACACTTTTTGCAGTGCTTATTTTAAGCCATGTGAGGGTGAAAAGAAGCACAGAAACAAGGAAAAAAAAGCCTTGTTAATGCTGCATTTTTGTTACTTTTGAATAWACGTTTTATGCCTGCAGATGTTTTGGGTTCTTTTCTTTTGCTAATGAACCGTTTGCACATAAAATAAACTGACAAAATAGAGAACTTCACAGAACTTTACTCTTCTATGYAGCATATGAATAAATCCTAATGTTAAAACATGTAAGGTTTCGCTTCCAGTGCTCTTATAAATGGTACTTTTAGCCTAAACTTTCTGATACTAACACAGATGTAGTTTCAAACACATTCGACTCGAAAATTTGAAGCCATCTGCGTTCATTTCACCTGTTTCTTTCACCAGCTTTTTTCTGCTCCTTCCTTGTTCTCACCTGTTCCTGCCCTTTTATTTATTTATTTATTTTCGTATACGCATGTTCGTTTCTCGATCACGTCCTCATATCCGATCTTTTACCCCGACGTGTTTGGTTCTTATTTTGCCCTTCACTCCTCCCTCATCTTTACATTTAATTTAATTTAATTTTCTTTCTCCTGCCTTGCAGCATCACCACCAAGCTGGAGCGCGCTCTGGAGAAGGTGGCGCCGCTGCTGAGGGAGATTTTCGTGGACTTCGCCCCGTTTCTGTCCAGGACGCTGCTGGGTAGCCATGGGCAGGAACTGCTCATAGAAGGTACAGGTGCTGTACACGTCTCCTTTTTCTCTAACTGGCGTCTCTCTGTGGAGTCTCCCCCATTCACTGTCCCCCCTCACTGCGATGTGGGTGTGTCAGAAACACTGGGAGTGTGTGACACGTGTGTGTTGCTGTGAGAGAGTGACTGAGTGTCTTTGAGTCAGCTGCTTCACTCATTCGTCCACCAGGTATGAAATCTGTTTTTTGCACCTGTTTATCTCAGCTAGACAGACACGCCAATGATTTTAGATCAGATTATGATGAGTTTCATGTTAACTTTAATGTAGGTCGTCCTGAATGTTTTGTTGCTCTGTCTGCCCACCTGCTTCCTGTTTTGTGAACCACTGTTTCAGTGTTGACTCTACTTTCTCCTTCTTTCTCTTCCTCCTCCTCCCTCTTTCCTTAATTTCTCTGCTGTTCGTTTTTGTCTTTTCTGTGGCATGCTTTTTGTAAATTTGACTATGACGACGGTATACTGTAACAAACTGCTAACGCTATGGTAACTGCCTCGATGCTGTTTCTTTTTTCCTGACGGCGTGTATGGGGTGCCGTCTGTAAAGTTACACAGTCAAAAATTATGGCCAATATTTTTG